AAATTCCTGGAGGACAATATACCAACTTGCAGTTCCAGGTTCGGTCGATTTGCATTTCAGCCCATGATTTTGGAAAGTGGATACACGCCGCCACAAAATATATATCTATCACAGCCAGAAGCAGCTCGTGTATACGCCCTCTCAGGTTTCACATTTGCCTCTGGTGACGTGCTCTACAGCTGTTTGACATCGTTCGGTAGCATGTAAACCTGTTGGGGATCATGGTCATCTCAGGCACAGCAGCGGATGTATCGAAGCATGTCCGCAGCGTCCTCATGGATGCGTGTGTACCGCAGCTTGCGGATACTATAAAAGAACATTTGGCGAGCATTAGTCTACAGCTTCCTTGCCACGCATTTCCGAATGGCAAATTGGTATACTTCTAAAACTGCGGAGAAACTGTGGCCAGACAAGGCGCGGTCCCGTACAGTCGTGTGGCCCCAGTTGCCCCGGCTGCTCACCTCCAAATCGTCAGACAGAGCCGGCATCGAACAGGTCTAAGGTGCCGACGCCTGTAGGGTACGTCAGGCTCCATGTGCTGGGCGGATGTGGGCGTCGTGTCCAGCGAGTCAAACTACCTCTAGGGAACGATCTCAGCTAATTTGCTGTTTCAAGGTGTTTCGGGCTCAGGCGCCTGTACCGTGGGTGCCAGGGATTTTTGTTCTGAGAGGATGTTATATGTTCGGGTGAAGGAGAGGGTTCCGTGTTTGGGAGTCGAACTGCTCCTCAGATAAGAAATTCTGTGTCAAAACTGAGGCATTGAGGATAATGCTATCCCTTGGAATCGTTGTGTTGCGTTTCCTACTCACAGCGCAATCAATATAGTCAAGATGTTCTTTTATTGTAGGCCTTCTCGCTCGGTCTGGGTAGTCAGTTTGATGAGGTAAAACGAATGTATCGTGAAGCTAATCTCGCTCTCGGTGACATTATCAAGGTAGGATTATGTGCGTTTGCTCTCCTTTTTTCCCACTGCCATAGCAAAAATAATTCCAACAAGAGATATGTCTGCAGGTGACTCCATCTTCCAAAATAGTCGGCGATCTGGCGCAGTTTATGGTGCAGAACAATCTTACACGCGAGACTCTAGTTGATCGTGCTGACGACTTGTCCTTCCCCAAGAGTGTTGTTGATTACATGCAGGTATTTTTCATTTCTTAACCTGATCCGTTTCTTAATAATGGAGTCTTACTGAGATCCATAGATTTGATGTTGGATTTTAGGGTAATGTAGGCCAACCTCCTTATGGGTTCCCAGAGCCTCTTCGAACGAAGGTTCTTCGTGGAAAGCCTAAGGTATGCTAACAGCTAATATGTGGCAAGCTCCAAGCATCAGTTATCAATATTCCCATGATCCTTAGGTGAAAGGAAGAGCTGGTGAAAACATGCCTCCTATGGATTTCGAAAAAGTAAAGAAAGAGTTGGAGGAAAAGCATGGAAGACCTCTGAGGTACTCTCACTAATAATAGTATAAATTGGGAACGCGAGAATATTCTTACAGAGACCAGGACATTATGTCTCATGCTATGTTCCCTGCAGTATTTGAAGAATTCGAACGGTTCCGAGCCGCCTATGGGCCAGTGGACAAACTTCCTACAAGGATATTCTTCACGGGATTGGATATTGCTGAGGAAGTTGACGTGGGTATCACATACACTTCTATCGGACTTCATTTGAACAGAGACTGGGCGCAGCTTTCTCGCTCCCTTCCTCGGAAGGGAGCTCATGAAGTTGCAGTCTTGCTCGCTGTGGGTAGTGAGCCGTGTCAGCACGGCTGCATTTGGCGCGCTGCCAGACCGTTCTGCACCAGTTGGTGAAGAGGGTGAGTGACAGCAAGTGTGGAAAACCACTGATACGAACGATATTGCACAGGTCTCTCGCTTGCCGAAAGAAAAAAGTGGGTTTGCGCCGCGCCAAACACCGCCGCACTGACACGCTCATTCATCTGCAACGAACGAGACAGTAATTGGTTGCAGGTGGTGTTTTTTTCAAGAACTAGAAGCAGTGGCTCTGCTCCTAGAAAGTTCGACTGTAGTAGTTTATTTCCATTGGATTTAGCTCGAATTTGATTAATTTACACATTCAAGGTTGAAATCGAGAAAGGAAAGACACTCGCTATCCAACTTCTGGCTGAAGGAAAATTGAACGCCAGGGGTGAACGTGAAGTATTCTTCTACCTCAACGGTCAGATGAGGAGTATATTTCTTCAAGATAAAGAAGCTTCAAAGGTGAGCACTGTACAGAGCGCAGTTCTGATTGAGGCCTTGGAGATGCAGCTAATTGAAGATCCGTTTTTAATCACATCAGTACAGAGAGCTGTGGGTCCCTTCCAGTTTTGCTGGCTCGGAGTGAGTGGTTCACTGATATGATTCAAGACAAAGTCGTCTTCAACCAGTAGTATTCAAAAAATTGTTTTGGAATAGCTCTTGTCCTCATATATCAGAAACTGAAATAGCCTAGCGTTCGAAGATTTCGTCGATGCATCCTAGAATCGAAACTGAACACTAGCCACCATCGGTTACAAAAAAAGGATTGAAAGCCTCCGTTGAATGAAATCTTTATAGAATTGAACACAGAACTTCTGAACCTAACATTCAAGAAAAACTGCATTTTTGCAACATCTTTGTGGATTCAACGGTCCTTTACAATTACTTCGCATATTTTCAGGAAATAATCACACGACCAAAGGCTCTCCCTGGTGTGAGGGGCTCTATTGGTGCTCCTATGCCTGGAGAGATTCTCGAACTGAAGGTTAAAGAAGGCGACAAGGTAGGTGTCAGGTTTTCTGGGCCAGAGGATTCGGATAAGGAGAAAATATTGAATAAGAAAGGGTTATGATTTCTCAGACGCTAATTTGTTTTGTTCGTGTTGTTAATGTTACAGTGCAAATTTCACTAGGAGTCTGCCTTGTGAGGATATTTCGTTGCCCTTAAAGGCACTTCTCATGATCAGGTCTTGTGGGTAGTGTGCTTAATCATGCACCAGTAGCCCATATGTAACTCCCCAGTAGAGAAAGAAGCGAAAAAACCTTGGGACCACTCTGAACAGAGACCCCCTTGGTGGTGGGTGGTGGTGGGCGCTTTGGACGAGTTTGCCGGACGTCAGCAAGCTCAGTCAGCAGAATTCGACAGCAATCGGTTCTCGGCATGAGCACAGGGAATCACCCTACGACGCTCCAGGCAACGCTATGTACACGCGCAATTCCGTTTGTAAGCCGTTGTCTTGCAGAGTGAAAGTAATCGTGGTTGCAATGGTTGCAATAATCACGCGTCTCTGGTCTCTTTATTTCGCCGTTTCGAGTGACGAAAGTGGTACATTTTTTGCGAATGACTAAGATGCCAGATGCACGAAGGCATTTCGTGGATCACTTGATTGCGGGAACTGTCTTTAACTAGACTCCAAAACGGAACTATGTTTTTTTGGACAGTATATTATCGATTACATCGCAAAGGCCACATAAAGCAGCCGTTTGTCACTATCAGCTTCAATAGTGTTTTGGGGCGGAACAATTTTCTAAGGATACAGCCACTACTGTCCTGAATAGAAGGCGAAAGTGTGACATATCTTGAAGCTGATTAAAGAATGCATAAGCCATTGGTGGCAGAGAGTCACCAAGCTGAATTTTTTTGTCTCTAATCTGACACACCATCTGATTACATTGATGCGCAACCTTACTAAGTACAAGTAGGATTCGCTAGCCTAAGAATCTCTTTGTAAATGAAAGAATGTCTTTGTAAATGCATGTGTGTCACGAAATGCATCCACAGCGATTGGTAAGTGATAGTGGGGCTCCGGTTCTGAAGAGTGATTAAGGGACAGGAGGGGAACACTACTGATGGGTGGTAGGATGTGATAACTGCTGAACAGATCTGATTAGATGGCTCAGAAGGGCCATAAAAGGCACATTTCTTAGCAAAAGTATGAGCAACAGTAAGGCGCCGGCTGCATTAGCTTGTCAAAAGGTGCTATATCATTGAAGCTGGGGAAGGCCATGCCTGGTGTCATGCATGCATCTTGCCCAGAAAGCATAGGTGTGAGCTTAAACATCGTAGGGCGTATGAGATATTTGGCCCGTAGCTCGCGATAAAGCGTTTTCAAACTTTTTTTCCTTTGACGGTTGTTCAGAAATGGTATGTACTGTCTCCTTTCAGGTTTCCCCAAAGCAACCACTGTTCGTGCTGTCAGCCATGAAGATGGAAATGGTCATTGATACACCTATCGCCGGTACTGTAAAGCAGATTTACCTCCCACAAGGAACTAAATGTGCAGCAGGCGACCTCGTTGTTGAGATCGAGCCGTGATCACTCGAGCTAGCGTTTACACCCCTCACTTCTCGACTGTACTAACAAAGAAATGTTTTACGAGATTACTGGATGTCGAAAGTCCTCGAACATTTGTTGGATTTCTTTTGTGATATGTATATAGTAAGATAGGTTATGTTTTAGGGAAGATTGTGCCTTTCAAATGCAGGTTTCACATGTTGGATAGCTTGCAGTTTGCACAAAGATGTTTTAGAGTTTTATCGATAAATTTTAGATATGCTTCACGGAAATCATCGAAAGTGTAACCAGTAAATCAACGTGTACTTCATCCGGCACCAATTTTTGCTAGCGTATACTCATTCTCCATATCCTTTGTGAAGGCTACATTCTCCATATCGCTTGTAAGGGTTTAAGGCGCGTCATGGGGAGCATAGCAAGTCTCCCGGTCAGCCACATTAGCTTTTCGCTCGGCAAGGTCGTGAGACTGATCCAAGACCCTCTTCCAAAGTTAAACTGTATACTCACCCCTGAGGAAAGCCTTTCCCATGTGCTAGGTGAATGGGTCCGCAGCTGCAGTGGCGTGCAACATTCTCCGCTCAACAGTGCACCGGAAAAGGGGCTGGAGTTTGTTGATACCCGTCTGGCGTTCGCCACAGTTATGAGTGCGCAGTACTTGCGTCGATACCAAGGTCCTGTAGCAAACATGTAGTCAGCGGTAGTGGACAATTAGAAAAGAAATGGCGCAAGCGAGTATCGCGCTCAACTACGGTCAGGCGTGGCGTGTGGCAGCGGGCGGAGTTGTGAGACGGCACCAGTGTATTACTATCCTTCACCCTCGTTTCCGTGCACCTTTGACTCGAGAAAGTGGCACGTTACTGTATCTGCGCTCATTCACTTCGCACATGGCAAGGATCAGAACCCGTGGAGGTCAGTATACATTTGGTCTGATATGAATGAGAGACATATGAAGGATTCACTTGTTCCATGAACTGCTCATTTTGACTTTGTTGTGGAACCTACTCACAATCTTATTTTGTAGCTCTTGAAGGATGCTCTCAGAAAATGGTTTGCCCCAGTAACATTTGTTGAAATGCAGTGGTTCGTACGGCGACGCGCGGCTATTGAGCAGCAAAACCCATATGAATTCACATTCTTTATCCTGGGCGTGGGATCTGAACATGGGACAGAGTGTGTTACTCGTGGGATATATCAGTTTGAAACAGCTGTCATCTTTTTTGTGTTGGACAGAGACATGACCACAATTGTGTCAAAATGAAAATATTCAAAAACGCAGCCACCGTCACGTTTAGTTGAAAATACAGCCATGTCTACCACATCTCAAGGATTTCGAGTGTAAGTGGAGTGAAGTATCCATGATGGGTGGTACAGAATTTTCCCTGCCTCTTTGACGCTCAACTCTAAATGGCCACACAGGAAAACTCGTCTGTGCGCTGCGCGTTGCACGCCACGCCCATTAGAGCGGCACATGACAATTGTCTTGTCACATAACCCTCTCTTGGAGCATTGTACGACTTCCGCAATGCGAGCATATTCGTTTTATTGCCGCCGTTTGTTGCCGTGATTTGTACCAGTCGAATTTTCACATTTTTTAGAGAACCGATCTGGACCTAGGCGGCGTGCTGAGGCCTCAACAGCAATGTTTTATGGTGATGCGGAATAGTGCACCTAATTTTTTTTGCGAAATAGTTGCGGATTTAAACAAAGAACCAGTCTGGGAAGCCATTTCGAGTAAGAAGAACTTTAACATGCTACAGTAACAACGTGTTGAAGGACATTGTAATCTTTCCTCCAATCGAAACCGCAGCGCTCGGGAACTTCTACATTTTGAAGTAGTTTAAAATCCAGGTGATGCTCATGCTTGCACCTCCCCCTATTTGGGGGGTGGTTCGTGAAATGGAGCCCTCGCGTTGTTCAGCCGTACAATATTTAGCCCTAGTGCCATGAAAGTGAAGTGCTTCGAAGGAACAGCCCTTCTCCATCCTTACCACTTTAATATCAGATCCCTCGAACGGAAACCTGACACTCAACTTCATCTGAATGAACAGGTGAATTTCATGAGGACTTTTTGATTTTTGAAGACTGCTTTATTAAATACGAGTAAGGGAAATCCTCAAAAAGCATTACTGACTGTAAGGAGTGGCGAGAAAAAAGGGTTTATTTCTTCGGCTCTGCTGGCTTGATATCCTTCAGTGCTTTCTCTGTTGCGTTGATGATTTCATTTTGACTCTTCGGATCTGGTTTCGGAGGTGTTTTTGTAGCTGCGATTGCTGTCTTTGCTGCCTCTTCTACACTCTTCGCTCTAGAGGGAGGTGGCCTTACAACACCTTGAAGGCTTTCTGAGTTCTTGGCACTGTTGCTCGTTGAATCGGACGTTCCAGACACAATCTCTTTGAGCTTTGGTTCCTGTGTCGGTTGTTCAGCCAGTGATGGTGGCCCTTTAGCAGTTGTGATTTGTCCTCTTGGAGATACCTGACCAGGTTTGGAGGGAGCCGGCGCAGCAGAGACTGTTGCTGGAGCTGAACCTGGTATACTCGCCTGGCCATTTGTGCCACGATACAGTAGAGAAATAGATGGGCGTTTTAAGGGTGAGGTCCCAGATGTTGGCTTGGAGGTAGCACTTGGCGCCGTCCTATCAGTCACAGGTGGTGTAGGCGAAACAGTGGGACCACTATTTTGGGTTAAGGGTGATGTTATCATCTGTTTTGGAGTGTAAATCCTGGCTGTATTAGGCGTTTGAGGAGATGGTGAGGCTTGTTGTTGCGAAGTCCCATTTACAGATGGCTTGGTCGACGTTACAGGGGCACCCCCACTGACTGGAGGAGCTGGCGTTGTATCCCGCTTTCTCGCTGTCACCGTTGAGGCACCCATAGTCCCGCTCTTGGAAGTGTCTATCGGTACTATCGTTGGTGCAGGTTTTGTAGTGGTTGCTCCCTTCGGTTTTGGCTGAGGAACTTCTATTGCATCCATTAGAGAGAGCAGCTCAGACTTTCTTTGTTGCATTTCTGCACCTGTAAGAGGAAGATCAGTGAGGTTGTGATGGCTGAGTTTCAGAATAGGCCCAACTCCTTGTGACCACATGATACCTTTTGGATCCCCAGGTGTTATTGGACCTATGAGGCAGTCATCGTTATTAGACACTTTTTCTTTTTCCTTGGGCAGTCGAGAGCCTGAAAATAGGAAACCTTTTGGAAAAACAAAAAAGAAGGGGAACCTGGGTGTCAGCCAAGCATGGGTAGCACCGTAGGTGATTTAGGTATCCTATTATTACGTTGCCCCATAAATTTTTGCCCAACATTTGATACTATTTGGTGTTTAAAGTTTCTATCTACTGATAAAACCCAGTTACCGGTATAATCAAAAGCAGTCGGATACTGAAGTGAGGCCATTCTAGGCAACAACAGGATGGTTTTCCTGCAGCGAGAAGCCGGCGATCGTAGAATTTGGAGAAGTCGTTTTTTGTAGTTATTTAATTTTCTTTCCCATCAGAGGTGGTCAGAGCAGGGAACAGATGAAGTCAGGTAGAGAAATACCAGCGCCACACGATGTGTCACCCTGTACCAATATGGCTTTACTAGAATATGGCGAGTCGTTTTCGCAACGTGAGGTCAAGCAGAATTCTGGAAGAAGGTGATACTCAGTTGTTTGAGACGCTCAAAAGGCAGTTGGCACGATAATTTGGTACTCGGCCGAAAATGCTAGCAGAACGCTATATAGCGGAAAAATCGCGAAAAAAAAACGAAGTGAAACGGTCAAGTTCCCTGCAAAGAAAGCCTTGCTTTTTGATGACTCAAAAAAGCAATTTCGGGCGAGTTTTCCGTGGGCATCTTGCCAATAAAGCTATGGTGGGTACGGCTGCACGTATGAAGTTATATATACGCAGCACCTCGTCCGCTTCATGTAAATCCCTTCGCTTGATATTCTACTTAGCAAATGAAGCAATACGAGTATCAGGTACGGTCGTCCATTTGTGGGTGGGCGGGCACGGTGGGCGTTCAGGTCGGTATGTTGTAGCTCAATAGGGCCTTATAAGTACCTTCCGTCGAGCTTCCACGTGGGTATGGGCCCTGAACGCCTGCTCGGATTCGGCTTTTCTCAGTTCAGCATGCCCCGGCAATACTTGGAGCATGTTCCTCAGAGCAAAGACCACGAGCAAAGGTTAGTCTGATGGGCTTACCAGCGCATCAGCCACGAGGCTGCTGGGTTTTGTTTTCTCAGCGGTCGAAGCTCCTAACATTCAGTAACTTAGGAACGTCCGGCCCGTGCGAGGAACGTCGTGCCACTGCGGTAAGTCTTTTTCGGGTGGTCAAATGTGTTGCTCGGACGTGGGCCGGAGTAGCACCCGGTAATCGTAGCTTGTGACGCAGGGAATCCTTATGCACGGTTGCTGGACATCTGGAATGACTTTCTCAGCTCACACTGCGTTTTGCAAGACAGTTGAACCATTGTTTCACAATCTAGTAAGTAGTGCCTGGCTCCAGAGACCCCCATGCACTGGTATCCAAACAGTATTCGCGAACCGTAGTTCCCGGTAATGGGTGGTAATCTGGGGTCGTTTTCGTTGCAGAAGCCGGGACTGCGCTAGCCGGCTTTTCAAGAGCTACTATTGCTTATCGCAGAATGGTGGAGAAAGAGCTTGCAACGTGCCACCTCCAGCCCTCCCCCTCTCCCTACCTGACTGTGCCCCAGTATCTGCAGCGAAAACGACTGTACTCGGATCCTCTCGGTGTTCTATTATCAAACCTTCTATCTAGACCTGCTCCTCTACTCTCCAACGTTTCACAGCTATTCGGCTATAACACGACATGGAACGGAGAAATATGGATTTGAACACAATTCGGGCAAAAATTATAGGGCAACCGTGTACAAAAAAATGTGTATCAGCATAGGACCTATTGAGTTATAACCTACATGGATCAGGACTTTTCGCCATGGCGTCCGCTGCTAGCTTCTCAAGGAGGAGACGTTTTTCCTCAGTTAATCGGTTGGTGTCAAGGCGGGGTTTGAGCGTCACGAATGAGAGTTCAAGCCGACGTGAGACTTTCATGACCTTAAAAGTTACAGATCTTATTCAGGATTGCTGTTCAACATCAGATCAGTAGCGTACTGATGCTGCGTTTCCGTCCGTTCCACAATAATTGGGTGCCGAAAACAGTGTGACTAATTTTTTGTCATACATGAATTGATGTCCAGCCTAAAACTTAGAGAACTTTTCGGAGGAACGGTTTCAAGGAGAGGGTTGGGTCTGAGATTGCTTGACCTGACTAAGATAAAATCTACACTTCTTGGCTTAAAAATATCAAGATTTGATCAGATTCTTTCGATCTTTCGCCAATATTTCGCGTCTACGCAAGAGCGGGAGCGCGGCGCTATTTTGTAGTCTATGCTTGACGCAAGACCCCTCCCCCTCAGGTTGCCATGTCCACTTTTTTAATGCTATCAAATTTTCTTTTATATCTATCTTCCTTTCGCGCCATACTCGCCTACCCGCTACCTCCTATCTCTCCAGTCTCTAGCCAGCGGCGACGCTGAAAACGCGCTGCGTGCTCTGGTCGCTGGCAGCGCTGGCCGCACAAGTATGAAACGCTGCCTTTACCTTTCTCTATAGACAACTCACTATGCGAAACTCTACCCACTTTTGGTAACTTTGGACAAGCAAAGGTTGTTCAGAGCTAAATTTAGTTGCTTACCCTCACAACTTCATGTGCTCGGACAACCATTGAGATATCGAGCATATCGCAAATGTTCGCAATGGTGTCACCACCAAAGATGTACGAAGTGGCTCGAGTCTGCAATCACGCTTATCCGTGTGCATATGTGTTTACCTTCAGTCGCTTTCTATTTACTGTCAAACGCCTGCGTTACGTCGAAACCTGTAGGGGAGGATATAGGCTCGTGGGTGCCCCTGGTGGTGATGGTGAGGAGTTGTTGCCTGGGCACTCAGTTATGTAGAAGCCCACACAGGTCCGGATTTGGCCGCGCGAAAGGGGTGATATTCCTCTATGAGATTTATCTGATTGATTCCCCCGTTTCAACCTAATCACGAGTAGGCTACGCGGCAGTCTACTGGTTCTGGTAGTTGGTCGGAAGTGGTAATCATTCCCCTCTCTCCGCTCGAGGATATATTCTCGAGAACCAGTGTTCGTAGTAGAGCAAGATTTGCTGAAGGAGGCTTCCACCGAGAAAAAGTTTTGCAAGTCGTATATTTCAGAAGAAATCTTTTTCACGCGTGATCCTATGCGCCAGAACGTACGTCCTTAAGATATGTTGCACCAGAAATGAGGCTCATCAGCAGCAGACAGCGATGAATGTAGCACGAAGTCCCTACTTGTCAGCAACATAACTATGCAGGAAGGTTTCTATCATTTCTGCGCTAACGTAGTTCAGTGCTGCTTCCGGAACTTTTGCTTACAATACGTCGTTGAGAAAAACTCACTGCATTGAACTGGAATCCAGTACAGGAGTCTGTTGAAGGATCCGACCACATTAGATCAACAGCTATGCCATCGTCACATGCACGAGGGGTTTTTGGTTTCTAAAAGCATTGCTCTCTAAAAGCGGAATGCACCGGAAAAGGAAATGCCATGTTAAATCATGCAGGGTTCCATCGGATTCATTCTTTTGTACAGGGGGGGGCAAAAAAAGTCCTTTACTCCCGTGACTTTCGAGGCCGCATAAGATATATTTATACTTTATAAATTCTGATCGGACATTTCTACCACCATATTAAAGAGCATATCAAATACTATCATGATACTCCGCCACAGCCTTCTGGAGGAGCGCCATCGAGAGATTCTGCCACGCGACCGTGAGTGGGTACCTGAGTTCAGCGAGATCGTTGATTTCTCCGCCACTACAGAGTGATCCTACTTAATATCCATCTCCTTCAGGCTACCAAGCCGTTCCATTCAAGTGAGCGAGTGTTTTTCCAATGCCTTCGAAGTCCACGTGGCGTCGCTAATCTGTGTAGCAGTACAAAGTTTCCAAGAAGGTACGGGTGACGACATGTAGGGAGGATATTCTTCTCGAGTTGCTTGATGTAACCGCCAGCGCTCACCTTCAGTCCGGGCCGTTTTTTTCACGAAGAAAAATATCGCCGTCCTTTCCATTCCAAGGTACCATACCATTCACCACGCTTGGGCGACTGCGTAAGAATTCGATTGTCCTAGCACCGCTGGCGACGTTGTCGAGTGCGTCGATATTTGAGGTCTTCCAGATCGAGATACTGGTCTCCAGATAGGCTACCAATGGGTGGCTCTACTATGTAAGAAATTATCACAAGCTGTTTATGAGAGTGACGATGAATTCCAAAGGTCTTCTTCAGTCAGGTTGCGACTGCGAGATGACTTCAATTTTGGCTGTACATTGAAAGGGGTGAGCGGACGCCGCCAGCTACTGCTTATTAGAAGAACATCTTGGGTATCTTTTGCCCTGGTACTCGTATCCACGTCCTCTGTCTGGGCTGCGAAAACTTTGCTGATATGTGACTCGGTCGAAGTGACTTTTTTGCCCCCGTATGTCTTGATAGCCGTAGCCTCGGGCTACGAGCACATGCGATCATGCATAAGGCGTAGTTCGGCGACGGGGGAAGGGGGGCACTTTGTACTTTTGCTGCTTCACTAATTCCGGGTTGCAAGTCTCACTCTGGTGAAAACCTGTACCCTGTTGTGAAACTGAAGCAAGCTCGTCTAGCCATCATGGCTAAACCTGTTAACTCTTGCGAGCTCATGAAATAACTCTCCAGATGGCTCTACACATCGATGGTATGTAGCAAAAGTGCAAAATGTCCCCTCCCCCACTTCCCCCGGTCGCCAAACTGTCCCCAGCTATTAACAACGAAGTGAAATATTAGCCCCGCAGCTTCTGCAGAAATCTTGGAATACGGGGAGGGCGAGGGTTGAATTTTCGTATGGCGGTCGTAGATGGGTATTTACGTTTTAGCCATCCACGGCGCTCTGGTATTGGCTTTTTGCAGAATTCTTAGTCTTCCTTACTGAATACTCTCGTCTTTTCTTAGTCTCATATCAATAGAAACTTGTTCACCTTCATGGAATTTGAAGTAGACGGAGAAAGCTTACAAGCTATTCAAAACTGATTACGGTACCTGCAGAGTTACCAGCGAATCCCAATTCTGAATTTCTGGAGAAATACCTCCATGCATGCACAATAGGCGGCTGCTTACAACTGCGCAAAGGGGCATTTCATTGAAGACCTACAATCAGGTATGCTAGGTCTTTATGAGTTCATGTTGACACCATTAGTGTAAGCTCTTTTCAGTGATTACAGAGTTTTGGCTGTGGTAGCTTTTTATCATGTCATCATTTATCTTAACTTTGAATTTATTATCTTTTGAACTTATCGATTGATCACCTCTTGGAACTTTTTCCACAAGTATATGCATCGCTTTCTCCTCAACTCTTCATAAAAACCATATAGTCTATTCATTTTTGAACATTCGTGATTACCCCGCAGCAGATGTATTAAATGAGGAAATTTTATACGATAGCATAACAACAACATTATGACCTAAACAGCAGAGAATAAGATGCTCTGAAAACACATAAAGGGTACGGTCTTGTTCGTTGCGGGCGGTGAGGCGTTTCAGCTGGGCTGAGTTTGGCGCGCTGCCAGCCTGCTGTCGACCAATTCTAGAAGCTGGCAGTCAACCACGATTGGTCGAGAACAGACTGACACCGCGCCGAACGCAGCCTAACCGAGGCGGCCCTGCTTCCGCAGCGAATAAAGCTGTAACTGGTAGATCGTGGGCTTCATGGTCACATAAGTACAGCGTATTTATTGGCAGGGCCGACACATGCGTGACGCGTGCGAGAAGTTGCCAAACATCGCATATTTTGGTTTTCCAGTCGGTTATTTACACCTCTCATTGAATACAGATCGATCATGGGGACATGAGCAAAAATCAAAAAAAAAAAACACGAGTAGAGCGCGAAGGAAACATTGATAGAGAAGTTCCCGATATTGGAGTCGAAGGCGCGCCTCAAAAGGATGGGATGAAATGTTCACCGTGATAAATCCTTTCTGGGATGTGGGCACGCAGTCTACGTCCACTCATGATCGAAGTGCCTGTTGAATGCGATGTGGCCTACACAGTGACTTGCATAGACCAGTCGATGTACAAGTCAGCCTAGACAAGTGTAGTACCAATTTCGTCCCGGAGAGTAGAAGGATCGGTTGGCGCGACCAGAGCGCCAGCACCGAAATTCGAACCGGGATTGCGCGCGTGTTATGCGTGCCGCCCACTACACCATTTCTGCGTAACTGAAATGTGGACATATTTCGAGAGAACCGTTAAGTTTCTGTGCACCCCAGTTCGACACATCTCCGTGGCTTTGGCCAACTATCCGACTTCCGCGCTGAACATAGTGACATGCTTTACAGGTCTTCAATTCTGTGGTGGATGGTAGCGAGGGGGGGGGGCAGGTGAGAGGAAAGGGAGGCGGGAGGCGGTAGCTGGAACTGGCCGCAGCGCCCCCTCCCTAGCCTCCCCCCCCCCGCCCTCTGCACCGAAACGCCTCTATCTACCAATCCTGGGAGCTTCAATGGTTATTGGAGTACAGGCTGGCACCGTGTCAAACCATACCCTCCGCCCCTACTGAAATGCCCCAGCGTCCACAGTACCAGCCATGTATGATAAGCCGCAGGGATTCTGGGGCCTAGCACAAGAGAGTTGGTTCCTGTCCTGTTTTACGTTCATTTGGTTAGCCGCCATCTCTGCAGACTTGGCGCAATGGCTAACGCCCACGAGTATTCTGCGTACAAAACTCCGTAGTTCAGCGATAGTTCCGAACAACACTGTTCGTTTCCTTTTTGCACTGTTCTGAAGCGAAGTGAACTGAGCACATGTGCTTTTTCTATCTCAAGCTTATCGATAAATGTAGGTACCTCAAACGATTTTTTGCATCTGTCAACGTAATCTCCTAGGAAGAGTATTTTGTTTTGTGGAGGTGGTCCGACTATAGTGAAGAATCTGAAAAAAACTGATTAATGAAATTCTCGACGTTTCAAACTCCACTTTTCCATAAGAGGTTAACCCATGGCGTAGCGCGTGCAGCACCATGCTTGTCACCCTCATTTTTTCATCCCCATGTAGAAGCTTGCTGTTCATAATGCAGTACGCATTTCACAAGAACTGTTTGACATTTTCTCCTGCTCCAGCGTTGCAGGTATACAAATCTCATGATTCCGCAGCATTGCGAACTCTAACTCATTCGCGATATTACTTCCCCATGCATCACCTCGCAAATGTGCTGTGGGTCGTAAAGAAGACAGTCATTGAGGGACTTCTGTTAGATCAACAGTACGACGAGATTACCGAAGTAAATCACGAAGTTGTCCATGAATATCACCAAAGATTACAATTGGAGCGTCTATTTCCAGCGTGGCCGGCTGTGGTTCCAGAGAAGCCTTTGCCTGAAAACTGCAATTTTTTCAAGCTTTCCATGTGTTCCTATTCAGTAACTGTTGAATATGGTCCAGGTGAGCATTGAGGCTGCTTACTGTAGTTTAGCCAACTGTTGCACTTGCTTCCACCTCAGATGGTCAGGTATCAGTTTTTAGTGGTTATTTGAGTGAGGTGCTGAGGTACTGAGTACTGATTGAGGCATGGAAGGTGCTCGGACAAGCCGTGGTGAGGTGGCTAAACCGCTTCCCGAACAACATAACAGCGGAAAGAAGAATGCCTTATACT